AAAAATAATGCAGGAGTTATATAGTAGGTATAGAATTCCCCTATTTCCCACCTTATAAATGACACTGCTAACAATATAATTTGATTATATGTGAGATAGAGACATACTTTTGGGACAAGAGAGGGAAGGAAATAGGGTTTTTTTTTGTTTGTTTTATATTGCTATGCAATTTAACTTTTTACATCTAACAGCAGATTGTAGATATTTCTCTGTTAATTCTTGGCAAATTTTAGTTTTTGTGATAAACTCTTCAAAAAGAATATACTGTGGGCAGGTATTGATCAAGCTGTTAAGATGTTAGTTAGGATGCCTATGTCTTATATAAGTGTGTGGCCTGATTTGGGTTTGCATCTATAACAGAGTGTGGCTTTGACTTCTGATTCCAGCTACTGATTTCAGCCTCCTGTTAGCATAGACCCTGAGAGGCAGCAGTAAAGACTCAAGTAAATTGGGTTCCTGTAACATAGTGGAAGACACGAATGGAGTACCCTTCCACCTGGCCATTGTGGGCAGAAGATGGGAATGCTCTCTTTCTCATTTGCTCTTTCTCTCTTAAATACACAGAGAACAAGTCAGTTTAAACAGTTATACGGATTTAAATTCACAAGATACCGAACTCCTATATCGAAAACTATAGTCTTCAAATGTATCCTTTGTAATGTGACTTGGCAACCTCTCCCATCAAGAAGTCAGGTGTGGGGCTGGTTCAAGTCCCAGTTTTCCACTTCTGATCCAGCTCCCTGCTAATGGCTTGAAGATGGCCCAAGTGTTTGGGCCCCTACCATCCACATGGGAGACCTAGATGAAGCTCCTGGCTCCTAGCTTTGGAATGGCCCAGGCCTGACCATATAGCAGCCATCTGGAGAGTGAACAGCAGATGGAAGACCTCTCTCTATATATCTCCTTTTCTTTCTGTATCTCTGACTTCAAATAAATAAATCTTTTAAAAAAGCAGCATGGTATATTCCACCACATTCAAATCTGGACTGGCCTTATGACTGATTTCAGACAACAGAATGTGTCAAAGGTAATACTGTGTCATGTGAACCTCATGAGGACCTGTGCTATTACTATGCTAACAAGCCAGGGCTAGCAGGCTAGACAGATGTGAGGGGCTTCAAAACACAAAGCCAAATCATCCTGCCTCAGCTGATAACTCAGATTTGGGAAATAACCAGCCAACGTCAGCAGAGTCATGAACCAGTCCAACTCAGATCAGCAGAATAGGCCAGTCAACCTTTGGGCCCTAAAAAAAAATTAAAGTTTATCATATGCCAAAACATGAAATAAAAAGGTGGCTTCCAATCAATTTTACTTTCCCACTAGTAGTGCATTTTCCTAAAACTTCTCTTTGCATTTAAAAGGAAAGATATTTCTACTTGCTATTTTACATTTTCTTTGATTACTTAATAAGGTTGGAACTTTTTCATGTTTACATGTCATTTGTGTTTTTCTTCAGTGAATTTTCGCTTTTGCCCAATATATTATCATTTTTACCATCTATATATTTCTTGACTGTAACAGTTCTAACAGTTTTCTAGCTTATTCTCTTGTACTTCCATTTGCAAACATATCTTATCATGTTTAAATAATTATTACTAGCCTGTTTTCCCCAACATTTACATTTTCTTATCTTATTGCACTAGCACAAAAAGACTCATATAATATAGCTACTGCATAAACCAAATGCAATCATGCATTTATTTATATACAGTTCTATAATAGAAATATTCAAACTTTCTTTCAGGTTATTAAATAGGTCAATATTTTCCCCAGAAAAGTAAACTGTTCGATGTCAGAATTTATAACACTATATACAAGAAAGCAGTGTAAATTTTTAGTTTCTATGCTGTTCTTCAAACGCAATTCATTTTCCATTGGCATAATATTATAATCAAATATTATCAAAATTTTTAAAAAGATGCATTTCGGCAGGAATAAAAAGAAGTTTGGAATAACAGAGCTGTGGGTGTTGTTGTTTGGAAATTAGACAAATCAACAGACTAATAATGAAGCAAAATTTCTGTGCAAACTTTTTGATATTGAAAATTTGGGACACAGGATTTTTTAAATTATTTTCTAACCTTCTTTCACTTTAGGACCTAACTGGCATCTAACATAATTACCTTAGTTTAACACATCACCCAATTAAAAAGAATACTATAAAGAATTGGTAGTATGGGTCTTTTTATATTTTAAGTGTTACTAAAAAAAATCTACCACATTTCTTTCAATCACAGAGGGAATTACATTCCCAAATTTGGACTCTCTCATATCACAGCTTACACATTGTTTTCATTTTATAACCAAACCTTACAAGTTTTTGAGTACTACAGAGATTTTTTAAAACTGTAAAATAGGAAAAACTTCTGTGGATGGGCAGCAGCAACCATAAATAAGTTATTTCCTGGCAGTGGTACCAACATAAATTTACTTAAATGTGTAATGTTACACAGAAATGAAAACCATTTCTATAGTCTGTGGAATAATGTCATAAGTTCTTTATTCATAAAAGGTTAACTTATAAATATGATAAACAATTTCTTTCTATTTAATTTCCACAGAAGCATAGAAGAAAGATAGAAATATTTTCTCTACAACCTAGTGCTGATGAAGATTTCTAGATAAAACACTGTATCTATATCTTTCTAGTATAACCACCAATATAAATTTTAAGTATAAATCTAAAATCTTGAGCTCTAGTCCTTTCTATTATTTATTTATTTATTTATTTTTTTGACAGGCAGAGTGGACAGTGAGAGAGAGAGACACAGAGAAAGGTCTTCCTTTGCCATTGGGTTCACCCTCCAATGGCCGCCGCAGCCGGCGCGCTGCAGCCGGCACACCGCACTGATCCGATGGCAGGAGCCAGGTACTTATCCTGGTCTCCCATGGGGTGCAGGGCCCAAGCACTTGGGCCATCCTCCACTGCACTCCCGGGCCACAGCAGAGAGCTGGCCTGGAAGAGGGGCAACCGGGACAGAATCCGGCGCCCAGACCGGGACTAGAACCCGGTGTGCCGGCGCCGCAAGGCGGAGGATTAGCCTAGTGAGCCGCGGTGCCAGCCTCCTTTCTATTAATTTTTAATCCAAATTTCTAAACACTTGTTTAAAACTGAACTTTTGGGGCCGATGCTGTGGCGCAGCGGATTGACGCCCTGGCCTGAAGTGCCAGCATCCCATATGGGCGCTGGTTCCAGACCCCGCTGCTCCACTTCCGATCCAGCTCTCAACTATGGCCTGGGAAAGCAGTAGAAGATGGCCCAAGTCCTTGAGCCCCTGTACCCGTGTAGGAGACCCAGAAGAAGCTCCTGGCTCCTGGCTTTGGATCGGCACAGCTCTGGCCGAACAAGCATTCTGATGTGGTTACAGATGAGCCACAATACCCATCTGTTGAATTAATCTTTGATATTTCATCTATCCAACCAGTATTCTGCATTATCTGCCTATTGATGCCTCCATACTCAATGCCACTACAGTAATCCAGACACTTAGTACCTTGTGTCTGGATAATAGCAAGCTCCTCATACATAGATCCCCATTTCAAGTCTCTGCTTACAATAGTCCTTCTTGAAATTTTCCTTCTAAAGTCAAGTCCTAGGTATATCATATCTCTGATGTGTGTTTCAGCCAAAAAGTTGGAAAACACATATGTAGGTTAAATTGTGTTGCCAAGAGATATGCTGAAATCCCAATCCTGGGTAAAGACAGGAGTTATGCTGTTACAAGCCAAAGAATGCTTGGGACCAGAAGCTGGAAAAAGCGAGAAAGACTTTCACTAAAAGCTTCAGAGGGAGCATAGCCCTGTCAACATTTGCTTTAATTTTTTAAAAAATATATTTAAAGGCAGAGAGAGCAAGAAGGACAGAGATAGTAAAAGGCCTTCCATCTACTGGATTACTCCTCAAATGCCTGCAGCTGGGGTAGGCTGAAGCTGGGAACTGTGTCTTCCACATGGGTGGCAAGGACCAAGTATTTGAGCCATCGATTACTGCCTCCTGGGTGTTCATTAGCAGGAAGCTGGTTCAAAAGCAGAGGAGCTGGGACTTGAACCCAGGCACTAAAATATGGGATGCTGCATCCCAACCATTGTGCCAAATGCCTGCCCTATCTGGATTATGGGTATTCAATCTCTAGAAGTGAGAGAACATATTTCTATTGTAAGCTACCTAGTTTATGGTAGTTTGTAATGGTAGCTCTTGTTAGCTAATACAACCAGTTAGTCACATCTCAAATATTTTCAAAATTTTAAAACTGCAGTAGAACATAAATCTATGAACAAAAGCATTATCATGACTACATATGTTTTAACACACTATAAACATTTTCAGATCTGGCAAAATATGACTTTTAACATCCTCACATAAAGATAGTCTCCCCTAGTTACTCTTCTTTACATCATCCTGTTTAGTTTTCTCATAGCACAATCACAATGTCTTATGTTGTGTTTACTTGGTTACCTTCTGTTTCCCTTAGCAGAAAGTAAATTCCTCAAGAACAAAGTTCTTGTATGGCTTTCTTTTTACCACTTTCCCAGTGCCTGGCACATAGGGGGTTTTCAATAAATACTTATGAAATGGAAAACAGAGAAGTTCATAAAATAAATTACATGCATCAAGTATTAAATACTGCTGCTGTTGTATACATTTCTTTGCTCTTCTTCCCTTCCAGGAAAAGAAAAAGAAGCTTCAAATGTGGAAATATATTAAATGGTCTACAATTGAAAACTTTACAGCCCACAGGCTAAAACTGTGAAGTGGTCTGTTTTAACACAACATAGCTGCAGTTGCTCATTCACATGTTGTGCATGGCTTCTTTTATACTATGGCAGAGGTGAGTTGTTCTAAGAGGCCATGGCTTATGCCTAAAAGCAAATATTTCCTAACTGATCCACAAAACAGATTTCTGTATGTTTTAATTATTTGTATTTATACAATGCTTGGCATCTAACCATACATATTCCAAAGACTATAAAAAACTACTGTTGGAAGTAATTTTTACCTTATTGTAATTCTTGGCTAATTCCAACATCTCTTTTACCACTGATTCATTATGTTTACAGTGTTCACTGTAGTCCTGAAGTGTTAGACCTTCCATCCAACTCTTCTTATGCAAATTGAGCAACATCTAAAAAATATGAAGAAAAAGTTAATTATTTTCCTGCCTTGAGGAATTCCCTTCACTTGTCATAAGAAAAAAAACTTCACAAAAGACTTGTGGAATTCATTAATTTAAACTCAGCTTGATTAATTCAAAGAAACTCCAATTAGAACTCCTAAATTTGTAATATAACCAAAGGAGTATGCTAATTCCATGGCCTGTGCATTTGCTGTCTTTCTCCCTAACAGGCTAATCTCATCTTTTCACGACTTAGCTTCCTCTCTTCCTTATAGATAAATTGTTGGCCAGGCTGAAGCCAGGATTTTCATCTATGTCTACCATGAGGGTGCAGAGGCCCAAGCACTTGGTTCATCTTCTGCTGCTTTCCCAGGAACATTAGCAGGGAGTTGAATTGGAAGTGCAGCCAGGACTCAAATCAGCGCCGATATGGGATGCTGGCATTGCAGGCGGCAGTTTAGCTCAGTGCACCACAACCCTGGGCCCAAGTAAGTGATCTTAAAGCTAAGTACTTTAGTTCAATGTTTCTCCAATTGGACTCTAAGTATATATTCTTGGAAGTTTTCAACTATATATTCCTCAATTTTTAATTAATGTAGAGACAGATAAAGATCTTCCATCTGTTGCTTCACTCCCCAAATGCCCACAACAGTCAGGGCTCAGCCATGGAGAAAGCAGGAGCCGGAGAACCAACTGCTTCAGCCATCAGCTGTTGCTTCCCAGGGTGTGCATAAGCAAGAAAGTAGAATTGAAAGCAGAGCTAGACTAGAACCCATGTACTCTGATATGGGATGCAGGATCCTAAGTGGTATCTTAACTGCTATGCCAAACATCCACCAATCAAGTTTATATTCTTTAAGTTTAATGTAATTTATTTGAAAAGAAGAGTGATGCATACACACAAAGACAGAAAAAGAGAGGGACAGAGATCTTCCATCCACTGGCTCACATCCTCCAAAATGCAATAAACTGAAGTCAGGAACCAGGAACTCAAGCAACGGCTTAAACCATGGTGTTACGATGCCTATCCCTCAAACACAATTCTTTTCAAATTTTTACTTTATTTATTTTTCTGAGAAGCTAAGAGAGAGAGAGAGCCCATGTACTGGTCTACTTCCTAAATGCCCACAACAGGTAGGACTGGTCCAGGGCCAACGCCAAGAACCAGGAATTCAAACCAGGTCACCTTTGTGGGTGATAGCAACCCAATTACTGTATGAGCCATGACTGATGACTCTCAGGGTATGCACTGGCAGAAGCTGGAACCAGGAGCCAGAGACAGGAGTTGAATCCAGGCACTCTGATATGGGGCACGAGTGTCTTTTACCTGCTTGATCACAAGGCTGTCTCTAGAACCAGTACACTGTAAATGAGATCCGTGAACCAAGGGAACCTGAAATGTACTTGGAAATGTTCACATTTAGTTTGGAAAAATCACCCTACTTGTTTAGAATTTTGAAGCTATTTGTGGTACTAAGTTTATCTGATGCTGGAAAATAAGCTACATAAATCATCTATGTGGCTCTTCAAGAACTGATGCTCCTCATTCCCTTGCTATGGGCTCCAGGGATAAGAATAGTACATAAAAGATTAGAAAATCTGGGTGACTGTAATTTCTTTGACTGCTACCCATACTCTCCACTGATACTGGTCTATAAAACAGATCCTTGGGTCATTTTGATGCAGCTGCAACTAACTATGCTATCAATTTACCTAAAACTGAATGTTGAGAATTAGATTTCTTTAGCACTTCAAAATCAAATAAAGGGGGTCAGGTATTTGGTAAAGCAATCAAGAAGCCCACATCTAGTATAGAAATGCATGGGTTTAAGTCCCACCTCTGATTCAGATCTAACTTCCTGCTAACATGTACACTGGGAGACAGCAGCTGATGGCTTAATTTTTGTATCCCTGCCATCCAAGTGGGAGACCCAGACTGAATTCTGGATTCCTTCAGCTTAGCCCAACCCCACATGTTGTAGGTATCTGGGGAGTGAACCAGTGAATCAAAGATCTCTGTCTTTGCCTTTAAATTAAAAAAATGTTTTGTTAAAATTTTTTCATAAAGCAAAGCAAACTTCCCTCGGAGCATCAGGATATCCCCACCATGCCTGTCAAGGATTCCACTGGAACTTTCAGGTAAGGACTTGGGTTAAATGCATAGGTTGGCAGCATAGAGATAAAGACAGGGCTTTCGTTACCAAGAAAACAGCTGAACTCAGCTATTAAGAACATAAATACAGGGCTGGTGCCACGGTTCAATAGGCTAATCCTCTGCCTGCGGTGCCGGCACACCGGCTTCTAGTCACGGTCGGGGTGCCGGATTCTGTCCCGGTTGCCCCTCTTCCAGTCCAGCTCTCTGCTGTGGCCAGGGAGTGCAGTGGAGGATGGCCCAAGTCCTTGGGCCCTGCACCCACATGGGAGACCAGGAGAAGCACCTGGCTCCTGGCTTTGGATCAACGTGATGCGCCGGCCGCAGCACACCGGCCGCAGCGGCCATTGGAGGGCGAACCAACGGCAAAGGAAGACCTTTCTCTCTCTCTGTCTCTCTCTCTCTCTCTCTCACTGTCCACTCTGCCTGTCAAAAAAAAAAAAAAACAAAACAAACAAAAACAAAACAAAAATCAAAAAACATAAATACGGGGGTCGCTGCTGCAGCTTAGTGTGCTAAGCCTTCGCCTGTGGCAATAGCATCCCATATGGGTGCCAGTTCATGTCCCAGCTGCTTCTCTTCCAATTCCGCTCTCTGCTATGGCCTGGGAAAGCAGTGGAAGACAGCCCAAGTTGTTGAGTCCCTGCTCCCATGTGAGACACCTGGAAGAAGCTCTAGGCTCCTGGCTTCGGACTGACCCAGCTCTGGCCATTGCAGCCATTTGGATAGGGAACCAGTGGATGGAAGACCTCTCTATCTCTCCCTGTCTCTGTCTGTAACTCTCTCAAATAAATAAATAAAATAAAATCTTAAAAAAAAAAAGCCAATTAGATCTTGAAACAAAATTTTTTAAAAAATAAGAACATAAATTACACTAATTAATGAATGTGTTTATATATACTTATATGCATGAATTTCAAAATTTTTTATACCAAAATAAACTTTTAAAAAAATTAATTTATTTGAAAGGCAGAGTTACAGAGAGGCAAAGGGGGAGAGAGAGAGAAAGAAAGAAAGAGAGGGAGAGAGAGAGAGAGGTCTTCTGTCCTTTGATGCACACCCCAAATGGCCACAATGGCTAGAGCTGGGCCAATCTGAAGCCAGGAGCCCGGAGCTTCTTCTGGGTCTCCCATGTGAGTGCAAGGGCTCAAGCACTTCAGCCACCTTCCATTGCTTTCCCGGCTATAGCCAGGAGCTGGATCAGAAATGAAGCAGCCAGGACTTGAAATGGTGCCCATATGGGATGACAGTACTGCAGGAGGCAGCTTTACTCACTATGCCACAGTGCCAGCCTCACCAAAATAAACTTTTTAAAATTCTATTTTCTCTAAATTTTTTAAAGTGTGCACGTGCATGTGTGTACATGCATACACACACACATATACACATATATATGTTTTTTATTTTTATTTTTATTTATGTGAATGGCAGAATGACTGAGAGACAGAGATCTTCCATCTGCTAGTTAATTCCCCCAAATATCTGCAACACCTAGGGCTGGGTCAGGCCCAACCCAGGAGCCAGGAACTCCATCTAGGTCTCCCATGTGAGTGGCAGGGACCCAAGTACTTGAGCCATCATTTGCTGTCTCCCAGAGGTACATTAGCAGGAAGCTGGAAAGGGTGTAGAGGTGGGACTTGAATCTAGGCACCCTAATATGGGAGGGATACTGGCACACCAGGTGGCATCTTAACCTGATATGACCACATCCCATATATGTTTTTCATGTCAAGGATGATGGCTAAGTTTACAGGATGGATAAATAGGTAACTCTGAATAAATGTTTTTCACTTTGTCTCAGACTAGTACTCTTTCATAGCCCGTAGTCACACTAGATAAAATTAAGTGCTGAAAATGTATTTCAAGAATTCAACTAAATGTATCATGGAAAAAGGAAACTCCAGCAGCTGGAAGATAGCTTTATGACTCCTCATTATTAGCCAAGGAAGAGCAGACCCTGCACTCTGCCTCATCACCATACTTAAGCACCTGTGTGCCCTTTAAGGTGAGTCTATAGGTGCTCTGACCTTTTAAAACAGAGATTTACAAAAGTGTAAAAAAACAAAAAACAAAAAACAAAAAAAAAACAGAAAAAGGATTCTTCAATACAAGAAAATCTGACATGCCATATCTTTCCCTCAATATATAAATGCGATTTATGGAATCTCAATGGAAGTGATCTAATTTAAAGACAGAGTAGGTAAGGAGACCAATTTCCCACTAGCCATATATACCAGAATTCCCTTCTAAGGCATCTTTGTGAAAAAGTTTCAACTAGTAATAATAGTGGTGTTTGCAACTGATTACTTACCACATTTGGATTTGAGAGTAAATACAATAACCAATTTGTTGGTTAACAATAGTAAACTCAGCATTTTTTTTAAATTTTAAATCTTTCCCAGAGAGAAATACAACAAACTAATTCAGCATATGACTAATTGAAGTAATAAAGGGGAAAAAGTGTTCAGATTTAACTTCTTAAAAAATAGGCAGAATGAAATATTCAGCATTAGCTAAGAAAATAATTAAACTGGAAATAATCCTAAAATAATAGAAATAAATAAAATATGAATCCACCAAGAAGCTACATTTTTTTTTTTTTTTTGGACAGGCAGAGTGGACAGTGAGAGAGAGAGACAGAGAGAAAGGTCTTCCTTTTGCTGTTGGTTCACCCTCCAATGGCCGCTGTGGCCAGCGCGCTGCGGCCAGCGCACTGTGCTGATCCGATGGCAGGAGCCAGGTACTTATCCTGGTCTCCCATGGGGTGCAGGGCCCAAGTACTTGGGCCATCCTCCACTGCACTCCCTGGCCACAGCAGAGAGCTGGCCTGCAAGAGGGGCAACCGGGACAGAATCCGGCGCCCTGACCGCGACTAGAACCTGGTGTGCCGGTGCCGCAAGGCGGAGGATTAGCCTAGTGAGCTGCGGCGCCGGCCCAAGAAGCTACATATTTTTAAAAAGTCATCAAATATGAAAACTACCTGGTATAGAAAGGAATAAAAATCTAGATCAAGAATTCTAAAAACTCTAAACGGTTTTCCTTTGACTCTTCTTTAGTTTATCCTAGGTAAACATGGTATGTTTTTATTTTATGTTTTGTGTGTACGTGTGTGTATGAGTCAGAGAGACAAACAGCAATCTCATCTACTGGTTCATTCCCTAAGTGCCTGCAACAGTCAGTGCCAGGCCAGGATGATGCTGGGAGCAAGGAACTCAACTCAGGTCTTCCATATGGGTGACAAGGACCCAGCTAGAGAGTCTATATTAGGTCGCTGGAATTTGGAACACAGCTGGGACTCAAACCCAGGACTCAGTTATGGGATGCAAGGGCCCTAACTAGCATCTTAACTACAAGGCCAAATGCCTGCCTTGGTCTGTTTTTTAAAAGTACTATAGTTACAACTTACTCCTATCAAATTTGGAAAACTATATATTCAGTCATTTAATTATAAAAGGCCAGTTTCTTAGGGAAGATAAATTAATCAGAAAAATGCCATAGAACTAGGATATTTTTATAACATCATAAAACCACACTGGAATGTTGAATATTTCTTACTTCCTCTCCCACTTTAGCAGAAAAGGTAAAATAAGGTAATAGGTCTTTCAATATGTTCAATAAAATATTCCTTTATTATATGCTGCTACTCATCAGGAATGGAAAAATATATGGAAATATCAAAAGAGATCAAGAATGCAGGTTTAAATAATATAACTGTTTAGATGGTTTAAGAAATATTTTTTCTTCTAAGAAAAATTTAAGCTTACCTTCTGTTCCAGTTCATTTTTCCGATAGTTAATAGTAATGGAGTAATAATGTCTGTTTAGTCCATGAATTAATGCCTACACAAATAAATGATTTTAAAAAGAACACATTAATATTTTTACCTAATAAAATACAAATACTTGAAAATGTTAATATATCCTGTACACAAATACCTTTGCCATTCTCTTTTTTAAAAAGCAATTTATCTTTTTTTTTTTTTTTTTAAAGATTTTATGTATTTGTTTGAGAGGTAGAGTTATAGACAGTGAGAGGGAAAGAAAGAGGGAAAGGTCTTTCATCAACTGGTTCACTCCCCAATTGGCTGCAATGGACAGAGCTGAGCCAATCCAAAGCCAGGAGCCAGGAGTTTCCTCTGGGCCTCCCACACGGATGCAGGGGCCCAAGTGCTTGAGCCATCTTCTACTGCTTTCCCAGACCACAGCAGAGAGTTGTATCGGAAGCAGAGCAGCCCAGGCTAGAACCTGTGCCCATGTGGCATGGCGGCGCTGCAGGTGGAGGATTAACCTACTGTGCCACAGTGCCAGTCCCAAGCAATTTATCTTAAATAAAGATGAAACTAAAATACTTTTCTCAACTACAGGTTTAGAAGTAAGGTTTAGAGGAATAGGCTACACATTCTTCAAAGCAAGCTATAGAGCAGTATAAATTAAATAGTCTGAGTAGCCTTGCAGTCAGAGACAAGGTTTGATTTCATCAAATGAAAGTGACAGATTAAAAAACTATTTGAAATTTATTGAGACTGATTTTACGATATACAGGGGGCTCTTTGGTATTTCAATAGAAAAGCCTAAAAGCTACAATAATGCTCATTTCTTCACCCACATTAGGTGTTTTCCCAAAAAGGGAAATTAATTAATTCAGTTTTGATAGATTGAAATAATTGTGTCCTCATGTCTCCAAATTAACAATGTGGAGCTAGTTCTTTACTGGATCCATCTAGTTCATGCTCTTTTATAGTGACATGCAACCTCATTAACCAGATCTTTATTTTCTACTGCACTCAATCTCCAAGATAAACAGGCCAACATAATAAAAACTTAAGCTAATGGCATGATTTTGTCAAGAAACAATAACCCCAGATGTGCTGGAATCAATTCACAATTGTCCAAGTATATAACTTTAGCAACAGGGGTTCAAATGAGGTTCAGGATGATAATCTGATGGATATACAGGACTCTCTTTTTGCACCTAGTAAGACATAATCATACAGAAAAACACCTCAGAAACATTTTAAACAAGTATAAAAATGAAAAAGGCTTTGGTGTTAACTCTCAGGAATCCAAAGATGAAACTAAAACCACCACTCTCAACTAATGGACTTGTACCAAGTAGGTGTTAAAGTGAACATTTACTGAGCACCTAGCATCTGCTTTACATATCACAACTTCTAATCTTCACAACAATCCAATAAAGTACTGTATTTTGACAGAGGAGAAAAATTCCACAAATCTTAATCTGTTCCAGTTTGTAAATAGTAAAAGACTGAGCCAGGGTTTTGAACCAGATCATTCTGACTCCATAACCCATGTTTCCTTCTGATATACTATGCTATAATACACATCAGGAAATTCTTAGTTTAAGCCTATTCTTAATTCTTAGTTTAAGGGTCAGAATGAAAACAAAGCATAATCTTCTTTTTAAGCTTTGCTAGCAAAAAAACACTCCAACAAATATTAAACATTTTAGATATATATGATACAATCCATTCTTATATTCCTAATGTCTGCCACAAAATTGAGCTATGAAATCCCCACAGGAGCAGTGGTTTATTTTAAATTTATTTTAATTTTACATGAAATTAAATCAATTTGGCATCTATTAAATGTTTATCCATTTCAATGATTATTGAGAGTACTGAATCAGGAGCAGTGAATTACATTTCAATGCATAACAATGCTACAGATAAAAAAAATGAACTAATCACAGTCTCTCTTAATATGTATTCATCTTTATGCACACAATCTGGCTAGAGAGTGGAGCCTGGGCTGGATGTCCCCTCATCCAAGCATATTTGGGCAATGTACTAATTGTACAATTCTCCATGGTGGTCACAAAACTAGTAACAGCTGTGGTAAATATATACAGAAGCCAGCCAATGGGCCCATGGATGTGTCTACATTTTAGAAATGAACTGTAATGCCAAAATAGCCATCTTGGTATTGGAAGGTACTATTTACTTGATTTTCAATTACATTTAGATAAAAGTAAGAAAACTAACACAGCAGAAAGCTTGGCAAGTACAATGATAATAAAACAAATCTAAGGTTAAATCAAATGATATCCTCAAGCAGTCTTCTAATTTCAATTACTCACCTGCTGTGTACCACCAGTGCATTCACCTCAAATACTAAGTAAAGTGGCCATGTGCTTTTGGGTTCATGTGGTAGGAAGACTGAACATGACCAAGTTTATTTATGTTTATCCCTCTAAACACTTGTATAGAAAAGCAGGTATGTTATAAAACACAAGTTTATGAATTCTATATAAGCTGTTCATAGGTTAACAGTTTAAAAAGTGTCATGCTCTTAAAAAAGGTTTGTTATGTTAAATTAGTTTACATTGATAAGATCAATGTAAAATCATGAAAATATCATGCTGAAAGATATCCATTAAATCCTCTAAAATGAAACTTTCTGTATATAAACACAACTCTGAAAATAAAAAAATGTTTTATGGTTCTCTCTAGAGAACTGTGCTACAGAAAGTAAAAGTGGGAGGGAGAGCTTTTGCTAAGTATCCTTTTGTACTTCTGAATTTTTAACTGTATATATATATATATATATATATATACATATATATATTATCTATACCAAAATTAAGTAACTAAATTAAATATAAGAGAATGAGGCATCTGCTTACAATTACCAGTGCCTACATTAACTCACTCACTGAATAACCTATTTTATTTTATTTATTTATTTTTTTTCTGAATAACCTAAACAACTCAATTTCCTGGCCTTGATTTCCTAATCTATAAAATGATCACAACTGCTCTTTTCTGTGAAATCATTTTATAACTGTTATGCTCAATAATTATCAAAAATATTTTTCAAATAGTTTAACTGTTACACAATACAATTGTACTTAAAACTACACTTAGATACCCACAGTCTGAGCACATATATCTGTGCATTAATATTTACTAAATTTCTATGAGGCTGACAACCAGTCTTCAAAGTGAATGGTATTTAGAGGAATCATTTAAAAATTTTAGTTACTAAAATAAGTGCTTGATAATTCTCAATTCTAAACATTGGACAATAATGATCAAATGTTCCAAGAACAAAATAATATAGTCTTCTATACTATTATAAAAGCCTTGATAGGTATTACAATTTTCCCCTTCACCTAATTATTATTGCTTTTCTCATATGAGCTTAGATATAAAGTAAAAAGTAACTTTATTAGCTTTTATAATATTTTGAACTTTCCCCAAATTATTAAGTGTTCTACAATGTAATCTTAATTTTCCCCTATGAATTTAAGTACAATTCTAAAGAAATCAATATTAGAGTCATTAGTGACCACCAGCAATGGCTTCTGTCAGATTTCTATCACTACTACGGGGAAGTTGATTTAGGAGCAAGGCCCTCAACATCAGCTAACATCCCCTTCAAAATAAAAGGCATGGCATTTCTAAAAGGCTTCTGATCCCTAACTTAACAATTCTGCTGCTAAAACTTAAAATTCTATTGTGGCTGTCACTACTCATTTCAGCTTGTTCTGAGTTGCTTTCTTTCTAGCTTGTCTTAAAAAATTAATGTGTTTCAAGGTGATGTTTTATTCTGTCACTTTTTGGATTGATCCCATTTGTGAGGTTTAGTATTGATATTCTCTTAAAACTGTAAAGCAGCACCTAGATAGATGTCATTTTCATGGGCACTATATAAACTCTGAAAACAAATATATTTACAGATTCAAACTGGAAGGCAAAATAAATTAAAATTAAAGGAAAAATAATGATGCAATAGTTGTTATATTTACAGGCTATTTAACTTAGTTTTGGAAACTGTTTCATTTTTACCTAAAATCATAAATGACAAAGTATGATTAAAAAATAAAAACTGGACTGATGCAGAAAGAAATAATTTTAATATGGATTATACTCAAATTATAAGGTTAAAAACCAGTGCTTTAATTTAAAAAAAAAATCTGCAACAGGTGGCTGTTGACTTGCAATTAGTAAAAACTTCTGGCAGAAACATACTATGTAGAAATCACAATGATCTTGGATAGTGAGATGCTACTTAACCTTTTGCAAAAAATAATGAAGCAGTATGATGCTATGGGGGTTTATAAGAAAGGTCATTATCACAGGCTAAACAGGTCCAATAATATATTCTCTTGGAATATGCAAGTATGGGCTTGTCTGTGCCCAATCAAAATCACTGGTAGCTTATTTCATACTCATTATATTCTTCAGTTTTCCCTTGTAAAAATTTTTTTCAAAAATAATACACTTCAATCCTTTGAAACAAAAACTTCTCATTTTGATGAACATTTCAGATGAGTGACTGCCTCAAAGTGAAGCATTTTAAAGTACGAAGCTATCAAAATGTAACCAAGGATTAAACATGATTAATTGTCAAAGCCGTTACTCCCAAAAGACAATCTTATAACACAGCAAGGTTTCAGAAGGGGAGGAGCAATAACATTATCTTATGTGTTCTGTTTAACCAAACATGGTATTATTGTCTTTTTAATTAATCTTCAGAGAAGTAATTAACTATATAGGCACTGGCTGTGGTTCATTCAAAAACACATTTACAATAATCTTTGTAGACAAAGATTTGTATTAAAACAATGAGGCATGTGAATGATACAAAGAAAACACTGATCACTCAAGAGGATATTAAGTGTCCAAACACCAATAATGCCAAAAATGGCGCTTAATATCATTAGAAAAAAAAAAAAAACAACAAGATATAAGCTCTCACAAAAAATGTATAGATGCACTTTATAGAATTTATCTTAAAGATGGGGATTATTGGGACTGGTGTTGTAGCATACCAGGTTAAGCGACCGCCTGTGATACCAGCATCCCATATGAGCGCAGGTTCCAGTCCCGGCTGCTCCATTTCCAATCCAGCTCCCTGCTAATATGTCTGGGAAAGCAGTGTAGTATTTGGGCCCCTGCACTCACATGGGAGACATGAAGAAGCTCCTGGTGCCTGCCTTTAGCTGGGCCCCACCCTAGCCATTGCAGCCATGTGGGGAGCAAACCACCAGATGGAAGATTTCTATCTCCCTCTCGCCTTCTCTGTCTCTCTCTCTGTAACTCTGCCTTTCAAATAAATAAATAAATCTTAAAAAAAAATCAATGGGGATTATATAAAAAAGGAAGAAAAGTTTAAGTACTGTTACGGAATTGCTTCTGAGGCCCTCTTAAAATATACAACACTTGGTCCTTCACTGGGGCATGGAGAGTATCGCTGCTGCCTGCAGTGCTGGCATCTCACATGGGCACAGGTTCAAGTCCTAGCTGTTCCACTTCCCATCCAGCTCTCTGATATGGCTGGGGAAAGCAGTGGGAGATGGCCGAAGTGCTTGGGCCCCTGCATACATGTGGGAGACCTGGAAGAAGCTCCTGTATCCTGGCTTCGGATTGGCCCAGCTCCAGCTGTTGTGGCCATTTGGGGAGTGAACCAGCAGACAGAAGATCTCTCTCTCTCTCTCTCTCTGCCTCTGCCTCTCTCTAACTGCCTTTCAAATAAATAAATAAATCTTTTATACACACACACACACACACACACACACACACATATATAAACACTTTCTCCCCTTATTTTCTACTCTGAGAAATGTCTCCTAACCAATCGACGATGACAGCCAATGCCCTCCACATGAAACTCCTATTGGTCCTTTTCTATAATGTTAACCATGCTATATCAAGGTATTCTGAAGATAAAGGCTCTACTATGCTCCCAAAAAGAGTGTTCTCAAAATTGGGTAGGCAAATAAAAAGACCCCACCAAAAATAATTTCATTTGAGCAGATTTAACTTTTGCAATATTTCCATACTTCTCTTTTAAAACACAGGAAGAATTAACTGCAAGCCAATTAAAATACTATGAATTAGGCCTTAAAATGACTATGTATAGCAGGTTTTTAAAATGTAAGAGTTAATACATTATCAAATACAGGCATTACCTGGATAGATGGCTTGTTCAAATGACCCAGATTTGAAGTTGTTTGTCTTGGTTCATGTCCTAAGACCATCATATTAGCATTGATCAATCTGAAGGCATCAATAACAACCTGTAAAAGCAAAGAGTCAAGTCAATTCTTTTATAAAAGCAAATGATGATACCAAGCAATAGTAGACAAGGTATGATCAACTTGCATCTGTTTCTGGCCTATTTCCAGAAAATCATTTAATTATAATATTAATAAAAAAGAACCTCCTGCTGATGGTGCCATCAGCACACCAACCTCTATCTTGTAATGTAAGGTGACATCAATTATTGCAATTTCCATGAAGCAATAAAGAAAAATATTAACTTTGCATCTTTCTTATTGAAATACGTCAATTCTAAACTTTACACCAAACCACCTTCATTGGCATGCATATGTTTGTCACCTAAATTTTACCTAATCAAAATGAATGACAGAAAAACTAAAACTGAAAGTGAGCACAAGCTAAGGGACCACATTCAAAGCCCAGCCCTGTCACATCAATTATACCACTACAGTACTTGAAATGACAACAAAATTACAGCCAGCAAGGCACTTGCCCACATCTTCTCTTCTAGTCAGATACCTTTTACTTCTTGTGACTATGAAAGATGTTATACCTTGCCTGATGGCCTTAAAAGTCCAAGCCACTGTCAAGCATAGGAGGCACAATATAAGAAAACCAAGGTCATTCATGCTTTAAGCCAGGAATATGGTATAGAATGACATGGCTCTAGGTTCACAGTAAAGAAGCAACAATAGGCATCTTCTGTACAGAAAGACTTCATGTAAACTCTTTCATGATATAATACTGTTAGCTCTTATTTATTAGGAGATTAACAAGAACCACATAGTATCCTTTTGCTGTCTTGATTATGTTTAATATAATGGAGATAGAGGAACTTGTTATAAAGCTTTCAAAACTGTAAAGTTTCATGTGAAGGCATGTGTCTTCAAGACAGATTGACTCTTTAGGGGAATTTAAGTCAATACATTTGCCACATAAAAGTATCTTAAAGCAAAACAATATAGAACTTTTAGATTTGACCTTTAAAGTGCTGAGCAACTGAGATTCACCAATATTTTAAAGGCTAATATCAACTAGATTTATTCTTATTCATATAATTATTGTTTGAGGCTAGAAAATGAGATTAAAATATTATTTACATTTACTCAATAACTGAGAAGTTAAAAATAAGATTTATTTTCAGGACAAGTCAACTGAAATGAAATCAAGTCTGAAAATGTTTATAGTATTACTACAGGCTGTCTGTTAAAGAATGAAAAATCACCCTTGCTAACGATGCCATGAAAGATCCAAAGATTACAACACAAGATACAAACTAAACCCAAAACATTATGACAAGTGACTCAATCTATGTCTTTGGTCCGCAATAATCAGCCAAAAAAGAAAGAAAGTTCAAATTTTCCCAAAGATTTTTCCTGGTTCAAAACAGAACCATGCATTCCCAGAACATGAATGATTTAATAGTTTATGAAAACTCTTTCTCTCTTTTTATGCAATAACCTTAATCCAGATTTAACTTTCACATTTATATATAAATGAATATAGTCTAGCTTGCTTATTTAAACTTTTTCTAGTCATGTTTTCGTTCTCCATAAAGCAAAACAAAAGGTTATAATAGTTATACTTCATTCAGATGTTAATATAATTTGAAACAATTGTTTAAAAAATACATACAAGTAAAATTCCCTTACATAACATAATATATGTTATGGTACAAAACATAAAAAGATTAAGTTAAAATGTTGGCAAAGGAGGGGGCAGAGATCACTTTCACAGATAGCCACACAATTTAAATGCAGAATAAAGAATTGCCACCCTATTAATAGTAAATATTTAAGAGCAAAAACATAATTTTGGTTCTATGACTCCATTTAAGATTTCAGTAAAATCATGTGTATGAAAAAATACTTTCACAAAACTATGAAAATTCTTGTAAACTTTTTATACTGAATTCTTTCAAACTAAAACAGCAGTTATTTAATACAAAAGGGTATGGAACGTCATAAAAAGGAAATGAAAATACTATTTAAGTAGATATATATATGATGATCAGCTAACCACAAATATAAGATTTTTAAATGTTTAACCCTATTAAGAAATTAAGAGAAAATTCAAGAATATTAATATTGTGTTCAACTGGTAAATAATGGCCTACATGAAATGATATGTTTAGCCTGACAATTCCTGAGCAGCAATATAATAGCCAATAGAAAATGATCACTTTACAACTAAGATTAAAGGAATTTGCTGCCATCACTATAGCAACTGCTTTAAGAAAACTAACATGCTCAACAACCTGCAGACCAAAATTAGATTTAGTATGCAATAAAAATACAAATATGGCAATATAGTCTACATTTTAATTTCTGTACAATTTTATAATTGCTTTTTCTGCTAGGAGAATAAGTGGGTTTCTCCTTTACAGCAACCTATCAAAATAGACTCATTAATGTCCAGTGCACTAATGAGCAATGGGTGATGAAGGTGTTAATTATACCACAGTAAGATTCAAGAAAAAGCCCTGGTGAATACTTGGAGGTGTGTACAAGCTAAAGGCGTTTCTCCATGTTTGTATATTTACTGCATGATACAATAGAATGACAATAATGTGGTCCCTCCATGGTTAAGAACAGAAAGAACATACTGAACAACAACAACAACAAAATCCCAAGAATTAATTAAGGTAATTAATTAAGAGATATTAATAGAATAATCCATCTTTTGAAGTTATGATTTTTCTAAAATAGTTCATTTTTAACTATATAAGTGTTAAACCAGTTCAGTTTGTCTTAAAAACTCAAACAATAATTAAACCAAAAACTTTGCACAAAAAAATATCCCCCTAGCCCATAACAAAAACCCCTAAGCTAAAATATGAAGAATATTTTCAGGTATACGATGCTAGATATTTAGAATTCCTTTCCAGGCTGAAGACCTGCACACCACACTGAATCTCTATTCACCAGCCTGACCGTTTAATTCTTTGTGGTACAAGTGCCTTGAGACTTTTCAGAGGTCACTGCAACAGTAGACAGCTTATAACAAAACCATTAGCAGTTTGGCTAGCTTAGGGAAACCTCTTACTTTCCTTTTTTGTTTATTATCACTGCATGAATCTGCAGCATATGATAGTTTATAATTTCTCAGGCTTGTTAAATTCATGTTAAAGGTCTGTTTTCTTGTTGAATAAATTTTGTTCATATAATGCTGCCTATTTCATACACTCAGTCTTTAATAGCACCTTTGGTCTATGCGCAACTCACAGATCAAAACAGAGGACTAAAATAGGGGTTGATGATGCTATTTACATGTGTGATTCCTGCTGTCTTCTTGTTAGTAGCTTTAATATAATAGAAGACCTTGTCTGTTTTGTAATTAACACATCTTTACTGGAGAGATATTTGGAAGTGATTGCTGTGAATATACTGGTTAGTAAAATAAACACAATCACACACCACTTTCTGTTATCAGACAAATTTGTGAATTGTACACATTATACTCCAGATCAACAAACTGTGATATAACAGCCAAGTAGAAGACACATATTTATATAACCCTTTATTTTTCTGAAAATATGTATTCACTCTGACCTTGCAAATATAATTAGCTTGTGGGATGTGCAGATTTCAGTACCATGGTTGCTTTACTAATTGCAACTCTTGGAAATAGATACTAAATATTTGGAAGCTGCCAATACAAAATAAAAACTGCATCTTTTTTGTACATCTGTCTTAGCTTATAAAAGCAAAATAGTTTTAAAAACAATGCTGAGTTCAATTTTTATTGCAAACACACTCAAGGGTCAATGACTTGTTATTTCATTTTAATGACAAATATGAGTTAGGACTTAAAATGCCATTTTCAATTTCACTTTAATACTTAATTTTTTGGCTTCTTTAATAAGTACAGTTCATCCAATATGCTATTTTATTTTAAATTCATATTTTCATATCAACTGCTAGGTCAATGAAAAACAAAACTAAATTTCTGAAGTACCAATCCAGAATTCTTAATTTTACATTAAAAGGGAGCTATGTTTAAAGTAGAGCTCTCCAAATTAGTTTAATACAAATGTGTTTTTGGTAGTAGCTACTGTAATTCATTTTTCTCCCCTCTCCCTCTATTTTTTATAGTAGTTGCCTCTGGCATTTCCAGTTGAACTTATATTGAAGTCAATGACTATGGGAAGTATATAAGATAGAATAAGACTAACATCTTTAGAATTTATAATGCATTTACTTGAGCTTAAAAATACCCAAAGCAATCTGAATCTTCCATAACCCAACAGGTCAGTTCATTGTAATGTATATAAAATAGCAATAATCTTAGCTTAAAAGAAACAAATTTAAGACATCAAAATCAATGTTAAACACTAAAGAAAGAAAAAAAAGGTGAGAATTTAGTTACTAGGTGGGTTATACATTTAAAAACATACAAACCCACCACCATACAAAGTAAATCTATAAATGAATATGAAAATGAGAGGTGGGAAAGGAAAGCAGAATCCCATATCAAATAGCTTTATCACCTAGAAATGACCTGTTATCAACTGCTTAGGTTGCTTCTAGATTCTTTAAAAATTAAGAGTGCATGTGACCTGGGAAGTACTGCTGGGGTTTGTGACCATTTCGTTACTTCTGCTGCCATGCACTGCCACACATCTATAAAAGAAAAACATCTTATGTCTCTTGTAAGCCCACAGCATAAAAAATTCAGAGAAATCTTACTTTTTATGCCATTTCCAATGAAAAGCACTAAGAACTAAAACTGACTCATGCCAAATGCATATCACTGAACTGCTGTGATTTCTTAGTCTCAAGTTTGCAACACGGAAATTATTTATAAAATGTCAATTTTAGCTCTGGAAAAGAAATTCCTATGTGTATGTACATTTTCTTTCTTCATCCTCAGAGAATTGCTTACTGTAGCTAGAGATCTGTAGTACAACTTCAATATAGTGGGAGAAAAGGGGGATGGGGTGTAACCAGCATAATGTACTTTTTGACAAGTGAAGACATGCATCAAAATTCAAAGAGTAAAGCCACAAGTTCTGAAC